CAGAAATGATATTGTTCCTTGTAGGGTTACTCCAATAAGGGGTTTTACTGTATTATAGTGTTTGTAAGATGGCCACGTATTAGTTCTTGCAAGCAAACATGAAGGACACTCAAAAAACATTTAAAAGAAGTCTGCTATAACAGCAAATTGAAGACCGAAGTTTTTGCTAAATTACATAGGTATCGTCTGTTCTGAGTTGCTCTCGGTCGGGCCACAGTATCAGTTCTTTCAACCTTTGCTATATTATAAGTGTCACAGATAAAAGAAAGTCCTGGATACGGTTGTTTTTGACGCATTGAATTGAATGCCAGATCCTGCACAGGAAGGTTTAACCTCAATCATTAGAACCATCCAGTGGCACAGTGGTATGTCTGCGGATTTACAACGGTTGTTTTTGACACATTGAATCGCATGCTAGATCCTGCACAGGAAGGTTTAACCTCAGTCACTAGAGCCCCCCAGTGGCACAGCGGTATGTCTGCGGACTTACAACACTAGAAACTGGGTTTCGATACCCGTGATGGGCAGAACACAGATAACCCTTGTGTAGATTTGTGCATAATTAAAAAAAAAAACAGTCATTAGAATAAGCATTAACTACTGGAATTTAGTCAAATTTAGAGATATTGTCAAAATAATTGTGTATTTCTTCTTCATAACTACTCGTGATTTGTAATACCCGTCCGAGGCCCTGGTTTTGAATTTTGGCATAATAACGATCCAAAACATACTATCTTGCTGAATGACAGGTATTTGGAGGAGGAGAAGAAACGCTGGTAATGTAAGAAATTATGAACTAGCCAACCAAAAATCCTGATGCTAACCCATTTGAAAGAAAAAAAAAAAATTATGGGACTAGCTGAAAAGGAATGTTACAAAGTAAAAATGAAGTTAAACATGAAGGGAAATACCTTCTGATAGTCATAGAAAATATTCATCCCTGATCAACGTTGTAATTAAGGATATACGAGAACCTACTAAATATTGATTATTATATTTGTTTTAAATTAAGTTTTTTACCATTAACATCGTAATATTGATCACATATACAACATGTAAGTCAAAACAATTTCCTTTTGCAACCTTTCTTAAGAACGTGAGTGTTCATAACTTGGTCACACACTTATTATCAGTACTTAGGATAGTTAGGTAAATCAATTTATCAGAAGTTTGTGAAACACATTAGTCCTCAGTAATGGACGTTAGATTAGCAACGATATCCCAAAGACGCGTTTAATAATTTTGCCTCTTACATTGTGTGGTAAGACACGACCTATTGTTTTATAATATTCACTACAGTATTGCAGCAGTAACAACAATATGTTTGTGTAAGCTTACATGTTCAAACCAAGCTGTTATCCGATCGGTATGTGTAATGCAATTTTTATTGTGGTATTACTGGTGGTTTATAAAGCTCTGTCAGATACACGTGTAATTCTGAATGACGTTCTATATTTTATTTTTACACATGACTATTTTTATTACTTCAGTCCATTGGTACTATGTAATATTTGAATGTTCTAAATAAGCCATTTTAATATTCGCCTCATCGGCCTTGTAATTTTGTTTGAGTGTGTAGCATTTCTTGTGTGTGTATTTTGGGGTATCAAATGTTTTCTCTTCATGCTATGCAATCTTAAGTCAGACTCCTATACAAAGACACACTGTAGTGTGTCATGCAGCCAAAACAACCTGCAGGACACAGTTTGTTATTAACTGGAGTGATAGTTTAGCGATTTTCCACTTTCTGTTGCTCGGACTGTGGTAATCCAAACTATCACATATTGTCAGTGGATGTGCTCTACTAGACCCTTACTTCACATACCAAATTTCAAGACTCTCCATCAAGAAATACACGAGATATAAAATCTCGAATTTTGATTTTGATTGATTTTTTTTTTCTCTCCTGTTTCTTCGCACCAAAAGTCGGAAACTTTATTTGATAGAAAAACGTACTTAACTTTTATGGATTTTTTTTCAAATTTGGAACACAAATTTGGATCTTTACAACTTACAATTAGATGTCACATTTGGTTTAACTATAAACCACGTGCAAAGTTATTCAACAAAAACCGCTCAGATTTGACCAATGATCGGCGAGAGGTTTTCATTTATAAAATTTTGTTGTTGTTCTCGACGTGAGATGTGGGTCTGACATTTTTACTACAGTTTCACCTAAGAGTAAAGGTAGACCGTTTTGGTTTTATATCATTCGAATTAAAGACGACTGATTTAGAGCAGCAAAATTATAGGTGAAAGCACGTGCACAAGTATTGGTTAGGCCAAGCAAACTACATTATCAGTTTCTAGCTGAAGTTTTCAAAAGAATCATACGGGTTGGCTGTTTATTATTCATTGCCAACTTTTAAGCATAAATCGTGACCCGTTGGGTCAACCACTATTCGGAGGTTATGAAGAATTCAAGCTAATTTCAATATTGCACCGAAATTAAGGTTTATTTTGAGATAATTTAATTAAATATTTCAATATATTCGTGTTATTCATAATTCAAGAAAAGATATTTGATAGTTGATCTGGAGTAAAAGGAAAGACCATTTCATTTTTCAAAAAAGTAAAGTATGAATTTTCGTAAAGAACGCGAACTGTAGTGTGAATGATTTTTTGACTGAGAAAATAAGTAACCAAACAAACAAACGAACAATCTCAGAGTTTTAATAGTATATAGATAGATTCTTTAATATCTTTTTTTTTTGTCAGCTTACAACTTTTAATGAAGATGGGAACATTTACAGGGAAATAATATAATAGCCAATGATCGGCGAGAGGTTTTCGTTTATAAAATTTTGTTGTTGTTCTCGACTTGATTTTTATTTCATTACCTCGTCTCCATAGTTACTATTTGCAAATAGTCAATAATATTGTGGGTCCAATTTATTGTTGTTCTTTCTACGCGCAGTTATAACACATTTTCATATCATCATTTAATTTCTGTTGTGCATATATTGTTGTATAGAAGATATTTTAAAGTGATTCATCAGGTGGACACCGAAGTTTTATAATAACGTACGAAAAGTGACCCGAAAAACGGCGCTAACTCGGTAACCCGTTGCCCGATTTTAACGAAACTTGTTTTATTCTGTTTCTATTCTCATTTCATTACAAATATAGCGTTATTGTGCGCCATTTTTGCTGTATTTAATTACAGACAAGCACACACACAAACAAACAATCTCAGAGTTTTAGTAGTATATAGATCTGCTAAATTTTTAAGAAATTCCCCTAATTAAAGAGCGTTTAGCGTCACGTGATACTAGTTTCAGCAATTAGCGTCAATAATGATGCTGGATACGGTTGCATCGAGTGCAGGCGAGTGATGACAAGAAATTGTTAATCTAGTTTCCATCATGTTACTATAAAGGAAGTTATTAACACTTTTTTTAGAGAGGAAAAAGTACCACCATATACTTTAAAGAATCTGATTTGTTCTGTAAAGTATAAGTATGTTTCGAATAATTGGGTTGTGATCCTAAAGCTAATGTTGGTTACTATCGAGTGTAACTTTCTTACTTGCTGTGATTTGTTGGTGTGTATTGACAAAAAATCAAGATACCTAATTCCAACCACCTTGGGTGTGAAAAAAGGGGGCAGCCAAAAAAGGATTGATCGTGCGACGTAAAGGAATGAAATCAAAATTGGCGACCAAGCTGGAAGCTACACTTATAGCATTGATAAGAATTTTACAGCAAATATTTGGTTTCATTCCATTACGCCTCACGCTCAATCCTTTTTTGGCTGCCCCTTTTGTCATACCTAAAGTGTTTTTGATTATATTATCCAGAACTTACAGACTCTTACTTCTTTGGGAGTAATACAGTCCTATTACTATTAGTCACTGGCTGTACTACGTACTCCCTCGTCCTATATGTAAAAGATTGACAAACTAAAAAGTCTGCACATAGTCAGGGAGTACTATGATTGCATAGCACAGAATAGTTGGCTGTGTTGAACAGTTTTAGTTCTGCCTCTATGTATTAAGGACGTCAGTTTCTTAACGTGTGACTTAGTTCTAGTTCTTGCCAATTATATTTAGTTCTTTAGCTTTTTAGACATGTTGTGCAATTCTGGGTTTTCTGGCATGGTTAGACATTTGCACAATACTCTTTAGTATGCTATGGTTGTTCCGGGTAGTGTTATATAGCTGTTTAATAATCTTTGGATTTATTATACAGGCTTTGTTTGCTCTGGTAATGTTAGTTTATGATAATCATTACTTGTTAAGCCAGGCCTGTTCTAATGGTTAATGTGCCGGACTGTGAATCCAAGGGGCCATGGCTCGCTACTCGTTGTCATGAATTCGCACTTTGAGGCTGTGGGCGCCTAAAAGGAATGACGGTCCAGTCCAACTATTCGAATAGACTAGACCAAGTTAGCTATGGGTAGTGTTGACTAGCAGATATTCCTCTAGCTATGGCTGGGGCAGGTAGCCATTGTGTAGCTCAGATTGTTTCGAACATTCGTGCAATTATTAAATCTAACACTTACACAGCCTTTGTTCTATGTTATAAATTTATCATTCTTTGATCTTATTGTATAGAAGTATGACTGTATACCTTAATATGTTGTTGTTGTTTTTTTAATTGCTATATATAATATTCTGTACGAGTATTACATAGTCTTTTTTCCCTCAAAAATATTGTTTATAACGTGAGACATCGACATTATAAAGCCCAAAATGTTCTGTTACTGAGGGCAATCTAGTACACGTTAACAAATTATTTACCATACATTATTTATCATGTTTTTTATTTAAGTTTCAGTAAGTCTAAAACTTAAAATATAAATGTACAAGTTATGGTATAAGTCTTCAATTTGGGCATGTTATCAACTTCGAAACATTATATTTGTAGCTTTGTTTGAACTTTATAAAAGGCTCAGCACAGTCAGGCTACCCTAAATTAGTTTTACGGAAGCAAATAAAACATACATGCTTTATCTCTGTTTCTATACATTACGAGAGGGTGTATTTTTCTTTCCCCTAGGAGGTGATTTTCTACTGCAAAGAATCTGACGGCATGTTAGTAACTGATCGATTAGTTCCGCCTGGAGCGACTGTTACAACAAGCTAGAAAAGGTAAACATTTTATTGTCATTCAAATTGGATTCACTTCTTTATATTCACTTTTTACTGTCAATTTCTAAGAGGTTATTGTCATTACAAATTCCTTTTTCATTGTACACAATTTATCGAATTAATTTTTGTGTGTATGAGAGCAGATAAGAGACGCCTTCTATTAGGACAGTTCAAAGATGGTTGCAAAATATGATACTGAATTGCATAGTTTTTTAAAGGGTACCTTTGGTATTTGTTAAATGTTTATTTACTAGCCTAGTCACACTCCAGAAACAAAGAAAGCTGGTTAATTAAAAACGTATGGCTTCATTTGTCGATTCCTTCACGCCTGGACATGTAATAAAGTAAACATCGATCTGATACACAAAATACTATTTTTGTTTATCTGATTTTTACACCAACTTATCTTTTAATACTAGGTGTGATGATTACTTTATTTCAAAAAGTAAACATCGATCTGATACACAAAATACTATTTTTGTTTATCTGATTTTTACACCAACTTATCTTTTAATACTAGGTGTGATGATTACTTTATTTCAAAAAGTATTAACTGGAGAATTTGATTAAATAATTTGGGAGAATTGGCTGTGGCTGTTAAGGTGAATTTTGAACATTAAAAAAGTTTACTGTTTAAAACAAGATCAAATATCTACACATAGTATACGACAGCTATTATCAACAAAACCATGATGAATCATGAGTTTGTATGGATATGTGGGTACAAGTCTTATGATGTTGAAAACGTGTATCCTTCTTTTAGTTTTTTTTAGGAAAGGTAGTTTATGAAAAGAACTCTGACTTGGATTGTACTCTAACGTACATAACATTAAAGATTTGTTGTAAGGTAGTGGCGATCAGGTAATCGTTATCGTGATTAGTTCCGATACTAATTAGTAACCAATTTTTATTATTTGTTAGATATCAGTTACTAAATAATTTGTATCCTCTGTAATTATAATTAAGTTTTCGTATATGCTACTAGGCATGACAAAGATGGGTACATTGATCTTAATAGTTTGAATTATGAGAATATTAATTAACTGTATTACTAATATATATTCTAATGAATTATAGATGTTGCTCCTTAAATTCATTAATTTGACTCACGTATAGAAATAAGTAATTTTAAAGTTGCTACGGATATTGTTTATAAATTTCAATATATTATGTACAGATAAATATAACTTTAGCGAAGGAAGCCCATAGATTTGTGACTTTCTCGAAATTCGTAAGTTAATTCATATTTTGCAAACATTTTCTTTATAAAGAACTAAAGTAGATTGTTTTCAAAAATAAAAATCTTACTGATTTGTTTTAGGTACTAATTGTAAATATCATAAAATATTATTAAAATTTCAAAACAGTTACATTTAGTGAACTAATATAAAAAATTTAAAAATTGTTACAGCGAATGGAATTTTGAATTATAGGTTTCTTCAGTTACGTCATTCTTGTCTTGGCTTTCGTCACAAGGTAACTACGTTTGACTGAAATGCTAGATATTATACATGGTTTCTTAAGTAGTTTAATACATCTGAGCAATTAATTTAACAGCATACTGATAATGGTAATGGATGAGGTGATGTACTACGCTATTGGGATTGAAAGTAAGTCCCAGTTATCTTTCTGTAATTGGCAATATACAGTGTCCTAGTCATCTCGCACAAATGACACAATTAAACTGAGTTTTTTTTTCGCTAGAGCTGGCAGGTATTTATATTCTTTGTTTAATTTCTGGCATCTAGAGCAGAAAATAAGAAAAGGAAAAGCGACTACAGTAGACTAAAATGTAAGCAAAATAGTGAAGATACCACAACTTCAGGTCAGACCCAAGGTTCAAATGCGGCATCTCACAATCCTTTGATTATATACGTCAACGATCGTACCATTTAAACACATTAAACATACAAAGAAGTTCTTTATATAATGTTCATATACAAAAGGAAATATTTTATCTAGTTTATTTTGGACAATCATATACTTTAACAAAAATTAATAACCTCAAACTTTAGTCAAATAAGCAAATGAGTAAACGAGACAGTCCTTACACAATATGTAATAGTAATTTCACATTAGAAAAACTACCTTTCTCTGTGGTAGGTTTTGAAAAATGCTAATATATAATATCACATTCACGTAGATGGTGGGTTTTCTTCGTTTTGATGCTGGCCACCCTTATCATCCAACTTCAACAAAACCTCATTATAGCAGAACGTAATCAATCAAATGCTTTTGCTCGTAATTCTTTGAAAGCAATTTCTTTAGGAAAAAAAAACTGACTCGAAATTGAAAAATCATGAACTAAGTTTCGCTTTAAACAAACAAACGAGTGGTTTACAACATCTTCCTAGTTCTATGTAGCTTTTCTTTTGTAGTAAGAAATATATATAGAATTAGTTGTTTGTTCCGGAAGCGCTACAATTCTTTTTCGTTTTTTCCTAAACATACTTATAAGTTCACTTTGAAAAGCGACTTAGAAAAGCATTGAAAATCTTAAAAAGCAAGCAATAGTATGGCAAGAAGTTTCATTATGAATCATATCTGGCATATATATTTAGGTTTGGACTCTTATTTTTTTATATTATTATCTCTTTGTCGTGTTAAACTATTTGTGGACAATAACTTACCTCTAATAACTTCCACGTTTCATCTGCTTGCAGTTTTTCTGGAGAAACTTTGACAGTGCACTATCTAAAAATGATTTATTGCCAAAGACCTCCTCGATGTTTCTGGTTCTATGAACCACAGTCTGCGAGGTGTATACTGCTACTGTTATTGACGATAATGCTAACGATATCTTAGAAAACACTGCACTTACAGAGTACACAGTTCTTCGGGGCAAGTGAGATATAAATAACGTCAAACTTTTTCACTAAATAAAGATGTATGAACAGGGTATTTGTGTGACGTTTATACATATCTCAGTTGTATAAGTATAATTTTAATATTCAATAGATGTTTAACTTGGCTTTTTTTTTGTTTTATTTGTTCTGTTGTTTTCGATCGTCACGTATAAAATGATTCTAGACTTTAATATGTTCTACGAGATATTTGTGTTACTGAGCTTGGGCGCCAATATATTAAACATTTTAAGCGCGTTTTTAAGAAAGGTATTTAAACAGTGGGTCTTGTTGTAATATGTGCGATACTATATCAAAGTAAATTGATAATGCGCTAATCGCATATTTCTTGAATGGCTCAATTCGGAGATTCCATTATGAATGGCCTGGTGGTTAGAGCGCTCGACTCGCAATATGCGGGTCATGGGTTCGAATCCGTATCACAGAACATACTAGTTCTTTCAGCAGTGGGGGGCGTTATAAAGTGACGGTCAATCCCACTAATCGTTGGTGAAAGAGTAGTCCAAGAGTTTGCGGATGGTGGTACTGACTAGCTTCCTTCCCTCTAGTCTCATCCAGGATTTATAGTGTTAAAATGTGGTTGAAATACTATTAATGTGTTACATTCTATATAGACAGATGTGTTTACAAGTATCGTCAGTCATATTGTGATGTAATATCTCACCTACCGCCAACTAGCGGATGTTGTTTCTCCAGTTTTAGCATTCATTACATGTCTACTATAATATTTTGCTGAAGGTGTGAAATAAGATTTATCATTGTCAATTAGTCACACGTGACAGAAAATAACAAATATAGGAACAACAACCAAAACTGCTGGCTTATAAATTTCTCGGTTTGTTTTCTTCTCTTTAAAGACGGATTCAAAAAAAGTTGATTTAATCTGATATTACCGTTTCTTTTTCTTCAAAGGTAGAAATGTAGTTTTCTTGTAAAATGTCAATGCCTACAACCTCCTTGGCTTTATTTCAATAACCTTACTCGAAATTTGTAAATTTCGAGGGGAATATTCCTTACAGTGATAGAATTAACTGAAATTTAGACAGTCTCTATTATTACGCCAATTTAAAAAAAATGTTGGCTGAATATTTCATAACTTGACCACTTTTATCGCTGTTAAACTGATTTCTAGGGGTATGGCTTTTGTATCTCAAACCTGGAGAGGCTAAGATAACTCGGTCTTGATTCTGGGTAATCACACTGTTGATTTTCCAGATGTTAATCTTATAAAGCTAGCCAGAAGTGACGCAATTCTGCTGAACTTGTATCATTTCATGGTAACTCATAAAAACTTCTGATACAAAACTGCTAATAAAGATGCAACTATTAAACGACGAGATAAATTCATTACTTATAAATGCGTTTCGATACTGTTTTCCTGGATGGAACAATCTGTACTTTCTTTCCTCTTGTTCGGAGTAAAAAGTGGTGTTGAGATTGCAAAGATCGTCAAATGTTGTACTGTATATACTTGATTCTTTTCTGCCAAAGTCGGTATAGCTGTGCATTTGCATGCATTTTGTACCTAGCATAACATTACCCTAAAAACTTCCTGTTACAATCTATCTCTTACTTCAGTATTTGCATGGAAAAGGAAATGATTAAAAAAAAATCTTCTGTTTTAGAGAGTATTAATTTACAGCATTACATGCCATCAAGAATCATAATAGTGTAGGAGTTATTTGAGAATTAACTATATTTGGAGAGGTCTAAAATACATAAAAATTGTCTTTGAATGATATTTCCTGACCAATATTACTACAAAGAGAAAAAACAAAACCTAAAAAAACTAGTAAATAAGCCTTCTGTCTGTCATCACAAACAGCACTGTAGTTTAGCTACGTGTGCGTCGACTTATTTGAATCATTCTGCAGATGAAAGCCTGGCTCTTGAAGCACTCAAAACTATTAATATAACTTATCAAGGATGATTAGAATACGGTATTTTAACGTCTTGTTCACATTTAGTCACGTCAACTGTCGGATGAAATAAGTACGCAGAAAATGCACCCTTAAAATAATATCGGCACTGTTAAACTGTCCTACATATAATAAGTGATTTTCAGCGCATAAAAGTGATGTGCAAATTGCGTGATGTGTAGAGATAGTATACTCTTTAATTTTGTATATTATGTTC